GGGGGGGGGGGGGTGGTGGTTCAGTAGTAAGTTAATTAGTTAACCAGTAAATAGTTATGCTGGAGTAGTTACAGTATAGTTAGTACTAGTTGGTTTTGTTTAAGTTAATCATGCAATTAAAAACCAATCTCTTAATAACCATTGCATATCGTCTTCAGTAAGAAGCCATCACTAATCATGCGACAATTCTAATACTGTTGTACAGTACATTTCTCAGTAGTTTCAAGCAAATTTGTCAATTACCTTCAACTTGAGAATTCCACTTGCAAATTGACTAAATTCAATTATCATCTCAACGAGTCATGAACGGCTGAACGCTTATATATAACTGAGCTCCTTCGACAGCTTTAGCTAGCTAGTTTTATTGAACAACCGGTGACACTGCAGCTATGGCAAATACCCTGGTAAACATGCATGCATGAACTCTTAAAGAGCATATATGCATCTTCCAATATCAATTCGGATAAAAATAGCAACAGATTTCACATAACGCCAATGTCTAGACCCCAGATACACTTGGCACACGTGTGAATTAATCTTATCTTTTCCCGATGATCGATATTCCCACGACTAACTATACGCACGCCACGGCACGGTTTGGCCAATTTCAACAGGATTTTCCCCCAAAATGAAACATGAATATTTAGAAAAAAGCGCGAATAAATTGGCCAAACGATTACCATATGTTATGTGCATTAAATATTTACACTTTTACGTTTCCTGAGGGTACATAATCCCACTCTAAAATGCAGTAAGATAGAAAGAATACCGCCGATTTAATTGGTAACTACAGCTGATCTAAAACTCAAATATTTGAGTGGATTTATTTTTACGGCAAAGTAAATACAGGCGGTCGTTCGGTTTGTCTACATGATTATTTGGATAATAATTATAAACGAGATGCTTCGTTCTATTTAAAGCTTGATCTCAGAGATATTTCGAGATTGAACAGGATCTAGAAAGTCTAGAAAGAATCAATGCTAATCAAAAAGGGACAGCGCCCATCAGTTCCCAAGCCTGACTCGTCCCAAGTCCCTGATCCCGCGTTGAATGATGGGAATACATTAAGTTTAGGTGAGAGGATGACCATGGGCCTTTGCGCCCTATTGTTCCAACCCGCAAACGCCTGCCTTTAATCATTTTCAAACTGATGTAGGGAAATCCTTGTCCCCAGGGCCTCTCGGTCGCGCGCGTCCTTTTTTGAACCGGAAGTGCAAGAAAATTTGCAGTAGTTTCCAAAGCGTATGCTCTTGAATTGGGAGGCTTCAGCACCCGTAACAATTTTCAGTTGACATATGTTGATAGAATAACTTTGCCCAGCGAAAATTGCTCAACTTCTGCAAAATAGCAGTTCCCTGAGATCAGATCTCCCCCTTTAGTCGTCTAACCCAGACAGGGACGTGCTGGGGTCTTAAAAAGGACGACGAATGAACAAGTCTGATGGGGGCCCAGGCCCTGTGACGGATGGATCAAGATTGGGGGGGATAAAAACAGACCCTAGCCAGTACGTCCTTGAACCCAGAGTCTAATTTTCAACGAGTGATCGAGTGAAAATGGCTCTGAGGACGAGAATGATGTTGGGACAGTCCAGACAGATGCCCCAATTATACCTATGACAATCATCCATTCTCTCCCCCTTTCATTGTTGGGTAGCAGCCTGAGCATCTCACTTTGATGTGTGATCGGTAAACAACATCGATCATGGCGCCATGCTAAAAAGAGATTGAACGTTCGGTAAATAGGACGTATTAAAGCATGTCGTGTATGGAAGGAAAACACTCGTGCTCAAGTGGTTTCAAGAGGCACTTGATCAGTATTCACATCTGTATGTCCATCAGCTGTATTCCCCTGTCATGTCTACATCGGTAAATTTTATAATCCATTCAATGAAAGTTTTGAAAACATTCAAACGTCCATTATCATCGGGTTCTTCCAAAAAACATAGTGCATTTTCAACATAACCAAACATAGTGTTCAAATGGGCGCGATAATGTTGTGTCTCCTAGCGGTGTCCGCCTAATATTGTTGTTTCGAATACACTAGAGATAATTAGTGGTTGAAGATGTGCATATATTAGTTACTGTATCAAAAGATCAGATACGATTTTTATATGGACGAAACTGATTTGCCCTATATATACCAGTCACGCAGTTTCGAACTATGACGCAATAAATTTTGTAGCAAATTATTATACATATTTAGTTTTGAAAGCGTATTGAGTAATGACAAGGATATGTTTGGAAACTGAAAAATAAATCTCTGAACGCCGACAAAATTATCAAATCCGCGCGCAAACATTGCAGGTACATTAAGACAGTAAGACAGTAAACTTTGACGCGAAATGGCTCTGAAGGAGAGGTATCAAGTCCATCAAAGCATACTTTTCGATTGCATTAACCATCAATTCGGGTGCAATTTGTCAAGTAGTTTGTCAAGCCGATATCAGGATGTGTTCGCGCTGCTTGTTCCCATTTGTTGTTACAAGTCTGGAACAAGTTGTAATCACCTTGTTACAAGGTTGATGACATAACAGACTTGCTACAAGTTGTTCCAACATGATTGATACAGGCTGTTCGTATAACAAGTTGCTACGAGCTTGTTGTCATCAACTTGTTAACAACTTGTTACATGCAGACGTTGCCATCATGCCAGACTTGTTGAGGCTTTTGGCCTCATCCAGCTTTTTACAAGATGATAACAACTTGTTCCAGACTTGTCACCAACGGGAGGGGGGAGGGGGGGGAGGGGTGCATATTCATATATTCATGTTCTGCCTGACGGATTTCTTTTGAAAGCGATTGTTTTTACGGTATGTGAACATGAATATATAAATATCCCCCCCCCCCTCCATTATCGCGTCTAGCAACGGCCCTGACTAGGAGATATGATCATCCATCATGGATATTATTTTGAGCGGAATGTTATGAGGAATAAATTAATGCCTTCAGTGATAAAACACCACGTCTTATGCGCGCAAATCGTGTAAGTTTGCAACTGAGTGTTTGCAAGTATAGTTTTTGCGAAATTGTATTTCAGGATGAAGCATTTCGTTATTTTTGCCACAATGGAGGTTTTGTGTCTCGTTTGATTACATTTTATTTGCATTGTTATCAGCATTGAGACAAGCAGTCGGTCTAAGCCCGTGTTCGAACAATATCGTTTTTATTTTGTCTAATGACATAGGCGTGACTCTTATGCATTGCAAACAATATTTTGTGAAGGCTACTTAGCCACAGGAAAAACGATAAAACCCGGTCACAAAAGCATGCTTTCCGGGGTTTTGTCCAGAGAATTTAGCCTCGGCAAGCTATGCTAATTTATGAAAATAACTAATTTATGCAAGTTTTTGGAAAATCTTGACACGCTGCATTTGTGAGGCCTTTGCGTGTGCAATTAGTTTACACTGTATCACATTAAAAAAACAACATCACGCTTTTGGTAAAACTTAATTTTGAAGGTGTTAAACAGTTCCACACCACGACAAATATCCCTGTATTTGTGAAATCAAACGTGAAATCATATACAATATTAAAAAATTGAATGCTTTTAGCCAATCGGAAAGAGCTATCTTTGTCTAAATTGTTTTTGTTCTTGTATACAGTCAACATTGTATCCGAGTCGAAGCTATGGACGATTGAAATGTTTGAAATTCGTACTGTTTTATGAATTGCAAAGCGAAGCCTTTTGGGGTAGTGTTTTTACGGTACTATTGATATAAGTTTAAAATGGGCACGTTTTTACGTTCGCTTGTCTGGTGTTTTGTTGTTTTGTTGTTGTACTTCGAGGAAGATAGATCAGGCAGCGAAGGTGAGTGTCATAATAACAATATTTTAAACCGCTAAACCGCTATTTTTCCCCTGTCCATTTATCCATCGGTAATTTAAAGCAAAAGTGTGTCGAAAATATAGACAATTCAATGGTAAAGAAACGTGCTTTCTTTGTAAATATAGTAAATGTTTATAGCATTTTTGGACACGTGGTGGCTATTATGCTATTTCAAGTGCACTAATTTTAGGTATCTTTTATTACAAATATATCGGTATTATATCGCACGCTCTTGTAGAATTCTTGTAAAATGTCCAAAACAAAAGTACAAAACTGTTATATTTGCCTTTGCAAATGGCGCCGAATCGCCGAATATGTGTGGCTGCGGTACGGAAATATATCAAATTCCACAGGCAAATTTCGGGTTATAATTAGGGCGAAATTTGAAGCGAACTTGTAATTTGAAACTTCGAATTTTAGCTTATAGTTGGGCGACATGTGAAGACGAAGACCAATTTGAATGCTCGTCTGGGGAATGCATTTTTAAAGATTGGCTCTGCGATGGAGACGAAGACTGCGACGATGGCAGCGACGAAAAGGCTGATATTTGTGGTATGTGACATGCTTTTTTATATAAAACGTTTACTGCTTCAAAATTTCGTTTAACATATTTATAATTGCCCTATTATAAAAGAGTCGAAGTGTAAAAGATATGAGCATAAATATAGCTACTAATGAATTGATTTGTTAGTGACTACGTGATATTGACCTACACATACGCAATAGAATTAAATTATAATTATCTGTGACTGTAATGTATATGAAATACAATACGCCATAGAATGTAATATTTTACTGTTACAGTTATTATACCAACACTAGTAAGGCTAATTATTAACCTACTACTAGTAAAACAAATATATAGTGCAATATTGGTACAACATGCTTTGCTTGTCACAATTTTGTGTAAAATATGTTGTATATGTAAATTATGCCATAATTAGTATATACCTTCACACTATGTATATTGTGTCTTAACCTAAGTAGGAAAAAGCCATTCAAATGCTGTAATTTGATTTGACGTGCTAGTATTTTATTCACTGTGTGATATCACTTGTATAACAAAAATTGCAGGCTATATTTGGATGTATAACTAACCATAGACTTACTTTGCCAAAAACATTTGTTAGCATAAGACCCCTTGTGGAGCTTATTGTTAATCATTATTGCACAAGAGTCTTCCATTAAGAATAAAATTGTCTGATATTAGACTGAGTACAAAAGCAATAAAATACAGCGATGTACGATGTCCCTTAATTTCACACAGAAGATTGAATGTTCACTTAATTCATGAATCATGTATCTACTTTTCTATGTATATTACTTCTGTATGAGAGATTCTTCATCTTGTAATAATCTCTTCTAAGAATGGTCATGCCAGAAAACACCCCCACACTTCTCCAGAGATGTGAACCCTAAGTGCCTAAATTGCGGATGATGCCAATACACTGAAACACTGTAAAACCACAATGCCAATATTAACAACTAGCTTTTGTAGCCAAAAAGAGAACAACATGTTTGTTCTTGTTTGAAATATGTAAATGTGAAGTCCTCAAATGTGTTTAGGGTAAAGTCCTCAAATGTGTTTAGGGTGAAGTTACAGGGTTAAATAAAAGTTTCATAAATGTTTTGGAAATTGACCTCCTTTGGATGTCCTAGTACATTTTACTATACCAAAAGTCAATTTTTCACAATCCCCGCTCCAGTCAGCAGAAATGACATCCATAGGGGGAGTGTGGGTATATTGTCTGGAATGATCCAATGTACCAAAAATATACCCAAGGCCAATCCATGATTTTCATTAACAAAAGCTATATTGCATTCATAAGTTCTTTGAATGTTTGCATGGCGATAAAATATAATTGTTTTTGTTTGTGAAAACACCACGTAAAAAAGTAATAAATTGCAGTAATAAATTTACGTGGTGTTTCCACAAACAAAAACAATTATATATTGCATTCATTAGTGGAAACCAGTTACATCTTTTCAATCAGCCAAGTACTGTGCTGCAATTTAATTACATATGTAGTCATGCGCCATGCGTAACAAAGGGAAACTTTATGTCCTATAGCTAAAGAAGTGCAATGTTCGAATCTTACGAGGTTTTCATGTGGTGATCGGTGCATCCCAATTGCTTGGCGTTGCGACAGACAAGAAGATTGTCGCGATGGTCGGGATGAAAAGAGCTGCGATTGTAAGTATAATTATACTCAAACATTTGCATCCAGGTAGTATATCATACTTGAAACTGGTAATAGTTTACCCATTAAGCTGCAGAGCTTCCCCATTGACAAGTAAAATCGTATGGCATTAGACAAGTTAAAAAAATTAGTAGGGTGCACTAGGGCCGGCGGATTGCGGCTCAATGGGTTAACTAGAGACATTGTCAGATTTTTTTGTTAAACTCATTAAGCTGCAGAGCTCCTCTTTGACAAGTAAAATCATCTGGCGTTAGACAAGTAAAAAAATATAAGTAGGGCGCACTAGGTTAATGTGTTGTTTCATGAACTGCGTGTGAATGTTATTGTCAATTTCAGGTCACTCTCCTAAGTGCGATTCCCAAGCTTGTTGTGAATATTCCCTATTACGTTTCTAAATTTGGAATATTGGGATATATAAAGAGTAATAAAGTCCTATTGTTAGCAACTTGCAACATTGGGTTTGCAAGTTCCATGCCCAATATTCCAAACTTGGGAACTGCACTTTGAAAAGTGACCAGACTTCTTTAAGAGTAACTTAATACCAAATCTGTGTACGGTACCTAGATAACCTAGCCTGTAGTGAAGATGAAATTGCGTGTAACACTTCCACACTACGTTGTATTCGCAAATCATGGGCCTGTGATGGCGAGGCAGATTGTCCAAATGGCTACGATGAACGCAATTGCAGTAAGTGATAGAAACTCTTGTATGAAGAGATTTATACATTTAGTCTTTTATCTCGAACCTACTGGAATAGTTTTCCATTTTATTGGTATGTTCCATTTTATATTGGTGATTATGATCTCACCATGACAGAAATGAAATGCTTTAGGCTATCTAGACTTTCTGGACAATCTTGGATTCTCTATCGAGATGAACTAGTTGCATTGTTCATCCATAACTATTTTTGACAGATATGCATTTGTTCATATTTTTTCATTATATATTAGGCGTGAACTGTACTGCTGAAAAATATTCATGTGATCTCGGTGCAACTTGTATTTCAAAAGCATTCCAATGTAATGGCAACAGAGATTGTCGTGATGGCTCTGATGAACTTGGTTGCTTAACCAGTAAGTGTTATGACTATAGTGATTTTCACATTAGCAATTTTGTCAACAATTTTTCTCCTGGCTTTATGTGACTGAATGAGTGATGTGCAAAAGACTTAGAAATGTTTCTATACTTTTGCAAATAAGTGTATTTGCATCTGTCAGGAAGGGAAAACAACCAACAAATTGTCTAATGTGAAACAGACCTAAGTTTATAGATCATGTTAGATCTAAGCCAACAGCTCAAAAAAGAACAGAGGAAAAGTGCTCAACCATGCACCAGTTAAGGAGAAAATTTCTCCTTAATTGGTACAGATGGTTGAGCACTTTTCCTCTGTTCATTTTTGAGCTGTTGGCTCAAAAATATATAAAGGCCCATCTATACATACGTACGTAAGTTGAAGAAACGATATAATTTTGTGCAGATGCAACTACCACGGTTTGTCCTGTGGGTCAAGTGCATTGTGAAGAGAGTAGAGAATGTATACCTACGTCATATTTATGTGATGAAGATCGAGACTGCAGCGATGGATCTGATGAATCGCCGCGTGTGTGTGGTAAGTTTGCATCCTGGTGGTACATTTAGCGTAATTTTCCTAAGACGGAATGGTCCCTCAATTTTACATTGCTTCCTACTGTACCCCACTGCATTTGTAAAAGACCAGTTGGTGTTAATTTATTGTTTGGTTTTAATGAAAGGCATTAAAAGGGTTAACAGTAAAAACATATCTAACCAACCCTGCACCAACACCACCCACATTGCGGTTAGTTATTTTCATGGTGAAATCTTGTGTACAGAGTATGTTGTATTTATTGCAGCCCAACGTTTATGTGCAAACGATGAATGGCAGTGCCTGGGAAGCAATCAGTGCATCAAAATTACGAAAGTTTGTGATGGTGCTTATGACTGTCAAGATGAGTCGGATGAAAGGCAGCATCTGAGCTCCAGTGCCTCATGCAGTGAGTTTTTTAATGAAAATCTTCTTAAGCAGGCCTGGCTTGTGGCTTCTATATGGTTATGGCTGTCATTACATCACATTACACTATCTGTCATTATCACATTACATGACCTGTCATCACATTATTATTATTATTATCTTCATTTTTATCCAGGATACCCACATCGATCACCGAAGTGTGTTTCAGTAGGGTCCTGCAACTCAAAATTACATTAATTCAATATTTAGCCACGCACTATTTACAGGAACGCATATATACAATACTATTATTTAAGAGTATTAATAAAACGTTATTTTCACTCCATCTGCATCGAAATGAAACACAACGGCAACGCACTTCTTTGTTTCAAAGACATCTGAGTGCTCACGAAACAAATACATACGCTACACTTCGCCGCGGTATGTTTGAAGTGAAAAACAGATAAACTATAGGCTAGATAGAGAGAGAAAGATAAGTAAGTGAAGAAGTACAAAAGTGAAATTCTTGAAAGTCTTTAAATTTGAATGCAGGTCTTTAAGGTCTTTGAATTGTGTGAAAAAGCGAAGAAAGTCTTTAAAAGTCTTTAAATTCTTTAGTGAGTATTTGATTATACGATTTCCTAGCTAATAAAATAGATTGATTGAAGGATTTGAAGCAAGAGTTTCGCAAATATCGACGAAAAGGCTTTTTTTAGGATGTGATTTCACGGGACTAATTACCGGGTAAAAATGGTACTTACACTCGCAATTTTTCGACAGCTGTTTGCTCTCAAAGGTCTTTGAAAAGTCTTTCAAAATAGGCAGAAAAAATCTTTGAAAGTCTTTGAATTTTTTGGTCTTGGAGACTACGAACCCTGGGTTTATACCTCGTTTACACACCGTCTTTTTAATACATTACATCACATGGCATGCCATGGTATATGACATCACATCACATGACATCATATTACATCATCACATTACATCACATCACATTACAATACATCACATTACATCACATCATATCACATTACATCTTACATCATCACATTACATTATATGATATATCACATTACATAACATTACATTATACTTTACTCTGAGCTAGTCCAGTAATTCGCCAGTCTTGCCACTATCCAGCCTTTGTACAATGGATCCTGCAAGTAGTGTTAAAATGTTCGTATTTTGATGTGTTTTTTTTTTTCAAATATAGCTCGAAATGAATGTACGAATCGGTCACGTTGTGGTGAAATGAATTGCCGGCAAACTCCAGCGGGTGTCCACTGTTATTGTAATCCTGGGTACAAGCAGGATGGTGAAAAGAAACGTTGTGTAGGTAGGTACAGGCACGCAAGTAGATGCGCAATTATCTAAATTCAAATTATCGAAACTGCATTGAGCTTGTTTCAGACTTTAAAATGCACCTCAATTATTTTTATCTTCTTATTCTTAAGAACGTCTGAAACGATATAATAACTTATTTTGAAGATTTTCGTTTGCTCACTTTGTATCTGAGATATTTCAGTTTTGTCACTAATGCATAATGATTGAAAGTAAAAGCTTGTATATCGTATTCACTATTCATTAAAATGAAGTTTGGAGTTGTGGGAGGATTACATACCTATGTAAAACACCATTTAGCCTTTTTATTTCATGATATTTAACTGTACCTTACATTCTTTGATCAGTCATTATCCATATGTGAATTAAATAACTCGGAGACAAAGTGTGCAAACGAAAATCGTCAAAATAAGTTACAATATCATTTCAAAAGTTCTTATAGGAATGAGATGTTAGAAGAATTGAGGTTAACTAATTGAAATTTTGTTATCACAAGTAAAACTTTATTTTAATGTGTACAGATGTTGATGAATGTGAAGATACAGTTTGCGCTCAATTCTGTAAAAACACTCCTGGATCATTCAAGTGCGCCTGTTATCATGGCTATCAGCTTGTCAATCATCTCTACTGTAAACCAGTCGGTAGGTGTATAAAATTCAAGTCAATATCAGGATGTGTTTGCATTGCTTGTGTTCTCAGTTGTTGTGAAAAGTTTGGACCAAGTTGTTATCATCTTGTTACAAGGTTGATGCCCTTAACAGACTTGTTAAACAACTTGTTACGATCAGACTTGTTGGAACAATTTGTTGCGAGTGTATTGGCTTCGCCAACCTTGTTACAAGATGATTACAACTTGTTCCAGACCTATCAACAACTGCGAACAAGCTGTGGGAACATATCTTGTTGAAAAGCTGTGAGTTTTTACGCATGTAGTACAAAACTAACGCCACGAACTGGTAGAATTGCTTCAAACTCTTTGCAAACTTCAGATAAAAATATTATGATCGGTGATTTCAGTGACCAAAAGCTAGGTGGGGTTTTTGGCCTAGCTACTGTACCTTCCATTCTTTTTTATAGATTCAGTTGAGCCAACGATTCTAGTCTCCCAGATAAATAAGATCATGAATTCCACTGTTGACGGTGGCCAACAGAACGTCTTGTATGGAAATCTGAAACGAGCCGTAGCTTTAGATTACCACTATCAAAAGAAACTGGTTTTCTTTACTGATGTTCATGAGAAGAAGATCTACAGAACAACGTATGGAAGCAAGGAAGTCAAGGTAACGTTTGCATTATATTTGATGCTTTTGTATTTTCATACTCGAGTCCAACAATGTTGGAGAACGTAGGACTCAAATTCAAATTAAATTCGTCTATTTTTCAAGCCCATCGTGTCAGTTGGTCTGTACATGCCTGATGGCATTGCAGTCGATTGGATTGGAGAGAATATTTACTTCACCGAGTCACGAGGCGGCAGAATTGATGTCGTCAATTTGGAAGGAAGATATCGCCATGTGTTGGCGGACAATCTTGGTTCTCCCCGAGGTCTTGCTGTTGATCCTAGCCAAAGGTGCTGTACAGTAGATTGACAATACATTTCATCGAATTGCTCAATACTGAATAGCTCTGTTAGTTCTAAAGTGTTCTCCTTAGAAGTCTAGTAAGGTCCATTTCTCATTTGTCCAGTGGTACTGTAGTACAAGAGAAAACCTAAATTAAGCTATTTTTTCATACTGGTTAGCTCTATCAGTTTTAAAACTGTTCTCCCTAGAGGTCCAGTAAGAGTCATCTCTTATTGATCCAGTGTTACTACAGGAGGAAGCCTAAACTAAACTAACTTTATATAAACTGGATAGCTCTATCAGTTCTAAACTGTTCTTCCTAGAGGTCCAGTCAGGATCATCTCTTATTGATCCAGTGTTACTACAGGAGGAAGCCTAAACTAAACTAACGTTATTTATACTGGATAGCTCTATCAGTTCTAAACTGTTCTTCCTAGAGGTCCAGTAAGAGTCATCTCTTATTGATCCAGTGTTACTACAGGAGGAAGCCTAAACTAAACTAAACTAACGTTATTTATACTGGATAGCTCTATCAGTTCTAAACTGTTCTTCCTAGAGGTTCAGTCAGGATCATCTCTTATTGATCCAGTGTTACTACAGGAGGAAGCCTGAACTAAACTAACGTTATTTATACTGGATAGCTCTATCAGTTCTAAACTGTTCTTCCTAGAGGTCCAGTAAGGATCATCTCTTATTCATCCAGTGTTACTACATGAGGAAACTGAAATACTCAAAGAAAACCTGTAGTGTTTTGGAAAAAAAGGACATAGAAGTATTTTTCTCATACGTTTTTCCATGTAACCTCCCACCAAGAAGTCTGTTAAGGGCCATGAGGCCATCCCCTTTCCAGTTCAGTATTAATACAGCAGGAAAACTGGAAACGCAGTGAAAATCTGCGGTGTTTGTTTGGTGAAGTCAAACTACAAGCACTCTTGTGAGTCTTGTCACATATGACCGTACTTATACCACTAGGTTGGTGGAACATCTCCGAGTTGATGTGGAGTAAAATTGAAATAAATTCTCTATCATTTCCAGGTATCTGTTTTACACAGACTGGGGTTCTAAGCAGCCTATGATCGGTCGGTGTAGTATGGACGGCCTTGGATGCAAAGTTTTGATTAATGTGAACATTACTTGGCCAAACGCAATCACGCTGGATTACGTCAACCAAAAGGTGTATTGGGCAGATGCGAGTCACGATTTGATATTCGTTGTTGATTACAGCGGGGACAATCGCCGCGTGGTGGCAGGAGGACCTGGACAAGATCCTATTCCACACCCATTTGCAATAACCCTGTATCGCTCGTTCCTCTACGTCACAGATTGGCGCGACCAAGAGGTCTATAAAGTAGACATACTAAATCTAGGCAAGGTGACAAAAATTATACGAAACATGAGACAGCCCATGGATATTCAAATGTACCATCCAGCCAGGCAAAACTATTCACAAAACTTCTGTAAGGATTACGGTTGTAGTCACTTGGGCTTGCTGTCTAGCGTTGCAACTGGCGGATGTACATGCGCTTGTGAAATCGGCACCACACTTGTTGGAAAAACTTGCAAGAGATTGGATGAGTTTGTAATAGTCGCAAGAAAGACTCAGATACGTGGTTATGTTTTTAAAAACGGTACAAAGAGAGACGCTGTGGTCCCTGTTCTCGGTCTACGTAACGCAGTTGCTGTCGACTACGACGTTGCCGAGCAAATGCTGTACTTCAGTGATCCGAATCGCTTATATCGTGTGAGGTTTGATGGGGCGGACATGCAAATGCTGATCAATGAAAGTTTGGGAGAAGTTGATGGGCTGGCTGTAGATTGGGAAGCTAGGAATCTGTATTGGACCGACGGAAGATATAAAACTATATCGGTCGCTACTCTTGGTGGCAAGTATCGACGAACGTTGATCAGTGATGATTTCGGAAGACCTAGGGCTATTGTAGTTCATCCTAAAATTGGGTAAGTGATTAAATATACAGCACTGGTCAAACATGAATGAGAATTGATGAGAGTTGGCAAGCGAGAGTGTCATAACTGTCATATCCCGGCCAAAGACGAACAAGAGTTGCATGAAAGTTGATGAAAGTTGGCTGGATGTTACCAGTCAAACGAGCCAAAACTCTCGTGAACTCTCATTAAAATGGGTCCAGTAAGGGACCTCAGGGTCATGCATTGATGATTCATTGTTACAGTAGAAAACCTAAACTAAGTTAAATTTACTTATATCGGGCAGCTCTTGCATTTCTAAATTGTTCTTCCTAGAGGTCCAGCAAGGGTAATCTCTTACTGATCCAGTGTCACTACAGGAGGAAACCTAAACTTAACTAACTTTATTTAAGCTGGATATCTCTGTCAGTTCTAAACTGTTCTTCCTAGAGGTCCAGCAAGGGTAATATCTTACTGATCCAGTGTCACTACAGGAGGAAACCTAGTAAACTAAACTAACTTTATTTATACTGGATAGCTCTATCAGTTCTAAACTGTTCTTCCTAGAGGTCCAGTAAGGATCATCTCTTATTGATCCAGTGTCACTACAGGAGGAAACCTAAACTTAACTAACTTTATTTAAGCTGGATATCTCTGTCAGTGTTGCTACATGAAGAAACTGGAATGCTCAGGGAACACCTGCAGTGTTTAGTAATTAAAAACTTGATCAGGTTGAGCTGCGTCCTTCGCAGTTCAGCCCAGCTCTCACTTGCAAGTAAGGATGATTTAATTTAGCAGAGCTTGAAATAACAGCCGATCACCGGATCAATGATCGGCAAGAAATTGCTTATGATCGGCGGAAAAGCAGGGTTTCGAACCTGAAAAAAGCAGGGAAAGTCATGACTGCCAATCACCATGATCGGGAACTTTGGGAACGTTATTCAAGCCCTGATTTAGTCCACCCCCAATTACCCCATCTAATTTCTGATTACATGATTATTGATGATGTACGTTTTAATACAGGATGTTGTTTTGGTCTGACTGGGGAAATGAGCCAAAGATAGAAAAATGTCAAATGGATGGCAAGAATCGTCAAAATATTATACACGGAGATGATATGGGCTGGCCAAATGGCTTAACTATTGATTACAGTACTTCAAAACTTTATTGGATTGATGCACAACACGATCATATGATGAAGGCGAATTTTGATGGCAAAGGAAAGTCAAAGGTTTTGGACAATTTGGCACATCCATTTGGGTTGGATGTTTATAATGGTTTTGCTTATTGGAGTGATTGGCACGATATGGCTATATATCGCGCTCAATTGAACGAAACATCGAGTGAGAACAAGGAACGTTTGTTGTCTAATGTTGGTGGCTTGATGGAGATTCGTACGTACAGGAGTGGACTTGTTTCAAGTAAGGAACTTTAACACAACAAAATTTAATTCGATGTCTTCTTTAGCAACAGCCAATAATTTAATAAGATGAAGATTTTGTGTCTGAAAATACTGTACATTCCAATTCTTTGATGAAACCTTTCCACTGTAATTTCGGTATCGAGTTGGTAGATTAATTAGGTATTTAATCATTTCAATAATTAGTTATTATTAGTATGTAATTTAGATATCCAATCAGTCTAATTTGCAGAATCAGGTATCAAAAATAAAAAAATGTCTGTGAAAATACTGCAAAAATGTACTTCCCAAAAAAATTTCTGGGAACTACTGTAGGTCCCCAATGTTTCCACCTCTGCTCTGAATATTATCAACATGCTAAATATGTTATGTACGTTATCAGAAAATTAGCTGGAAACCTTCTTTATGTTATAGATGGCAGTAACCCTTGTTCCAAGGCCCGTTGTACTCAATTGTGTTTATTAAAACCATCAAATGAGCACACCTGTTCCTGCAAAGAGGGCTTCTCAGTGGACACGGATGGCAGAAGTTGTGTCGGTAAGTTCAACGCCATTGCCAGAGCGGAAAAAGTAAGGTGGACAAACGAGCACTGAAGGCGCTTAACATTTAGGCAGGGCTTTCAGAATTATTCTGAATAGGTGGCTGTGTTGATAAGGTATAGGCGACTGTGGGGAGCGTTCTAGGGAGTCTTACAGTCATCCAAATTAACTAGACATAAGTGTATATTGATTAGATAGCAACACAACTGAGCTTTGTATAACCAAATTAGCTATAATGTATCACTATACTTTCATTCTCAGTTTTACGAAATAGTATACGTTGTTTTCGAAAAGAACCGGGCTATAAAGTAGACTAGGTTAAGGAAAAATAATTTTGTTTGAAAGCTCGATCAGAGTGGAGGAAGGAGAGCAGAATTGATATTTCAAGTACTAAACAAAGTAGGCGGTGGTAAACCTCGTGGCCCCTCCGACGGTCGCCGGCTTATTTTGAAAGCTTTGATTTAGGGTGTGTGTGGGAGGGGGGGGAGGGGGCGGGGTGAAAGTACTGTGGGCTAACACACGAAACCAGTGCTTATATTTGACATTAAATGTATTTACGTTATTCTAGAAGCAAAATCTACTCCAAGTCCAACGAAACCAACATGTCCACCCAATAGTTTCCAATGTAACAACTCCAATTGCGTTCACAGTATCTGGCTTTGTGATGGAGATGACGATTGCCTTGATAACTCTGATGAAATTAACAATGAATGCCGTAAGTTAGAACGTTTTTATTGGGGAGTGTTTACTCAATATAGGAAGAAGGTTAAGGAACTCGATGCAGACATAATAGACTTAAAGCCTCGTTGCTTACATCAAGACAAAAACATAGAGGTGTATTATGTTATATGTAAACAACGAGTTTGAGTGTTTCATCAGGGGATCCAAACACAAGAAAACTGTATGAAACACGAGCGCGAAGCGCGAGTGTTTTATTGTTTTCGAGTGTTTGGTCCCCTGATGAAACACGAGAAACGAGTTGTTTACACAACATCTCAAACGAAAACATTTCATTGGCTTATATATATTATTATAGTATATTGTTGTGTTTTGACTTGAATTTGTAATTAGAATCTCAGTTATTAGATGAAAACCGTTTTTCATCTAACAACAGTGATGGTATATGATTTTTAGCGTGTTTCCTTGCGGTATCCAACCTCAATCATGTGACGAATTAGGGTGAGTTCATTCGCTAATTTGCTCATGAATTATTAATGAGTTTGAAATGCCTGCATCTAGTTGGATAACCTTCAATTGACTATTGGGCACCTCACATATAGAATTAAATATTGTAAGTTTTTGGGAAATGATAATCTCGAGTGTGAATAGGCAATTCCAGCTTTTAGTTTATGCGTGCAGGGGACGATGGGAAGTAAGGTATCACATTGCTGATTATGCTGAAAAAATAAAAATGGTGGCCGTGTAAACACGGAGTGATAGCTTATATTCGTAAATATTGAAATATTTCGGTTGTTTCGGCAGTTTTTATTGAAATTTTTCAGCATAATCGGCAATATGATACCTAGGGATGAGCCGATTAATCGGTACGGCCGATAAATCGGCCGATATTTGGCGTTTTCAAAATAATCGGTAATCGGCCGATTATTTTTTATAATCGGCTATTTGCCGATATTCGCAATTTTTTCGGTTTTTTTTTAAGAAAAATAACTCTATAATCTAGTAATCTACACTCCGTCTTGTTTTTGACACTTTTGTTGTGCGTATTTAATCCCATATCCATTAATTCATTTGACTCGTACAGTGACCGATAACTGTCCAATATGAGTAAATATTTTCTGGAACACACTAAAACTAGTACGTCAATTTGTGGCGTATACACAAGTATTAAAAGTTGTCAAAAAACCACCGTTATCCGGCGCTTGTAACCCGGTACACAGAAATATCGGCCATAGCCGATTAATCGGCCGATTATTTTTTTATATCGGCTCCGATATATCGGATCGGCGAATCGACTTTTTTCTGGTATCTGCTCATCCCTAATGATACCTTACTTCCCATCATCCCCTGCACGCATAAGCTAAAAGCTGGAAGTGTCTATTATATACATTTATTAGGCCCCCCGTTTACATGAGACCGGAACGAAGTCAAACCGGGACCATCTCGTTTCGGTCATAGTATTATCTATAATAGATGTTTACATGAGACCGGGACGAAAATAACTCAGACCGGTCTCAAGTCATTCCGCCTTCTGGACCGAACCGACTGACTTCACACCGGCATGAATTCAGACCGGGATGAATGTAAACACAAATACATTTCAGACCGGTCTCGGCTGTAATCTTGACATTGGAACAACACATGCTAGCAAAAGCCACCTGAAACAGAAAATTGCCTGGCAAGGGGAATAAATTGAAGATTTTGTGATCCTCGTACCGGTCTCATGTAAACATGTTGACAATTTCAATTTTCATTCCGGTTTGACTTCGTCCCGGTCTCATGTAAACGGGGCCTTAGATCTAACCAGGAGCAGTTGCAAAAAATGCAACTATACAGTGTGTATCAAAATAATTCGAATCCAAATTTGGCGTGTAATAACGCAGAATATATTTGACAAATTCGGTTGGTTTTTACACCATTGTTAAGTTCATTTATTTACCTTTCAAATGACATGCTGTACGCGTTATTTAGTTGGAAAATGAAGGAGTATTGCTTTGACAAAAAAGTCCATAAAAATCACAATTTTCCGCCGATGGGAATTGGACATTTTTTCTTTCAAAGTTAGTCCCACAAGGCTTTGAAATGCTAATCATCGCTGAAAACTAAAATGCAAATTTAACGCGAATTTCTTCTCGTTCAACATGTTGAAGGCATAGGAGCTTAAATCTCTTTAAATGAACACGAATTTATGTAAATTTTGCTACATAACAGTTTGTTGATTAATTAAATTTGCATTATCTTTTGTTTGTACGTCTCACTTCGAATTCCCATCGGCGGAAAAATTTGATTTCGAGCAACCAGTTTTAACACACGATTTCTTGGTCATTTTTGATCTTATTGATATAAGAACGATATAATCGGAAACCTAATAGGCTATTCTTTATTGCCATATAAAAATTATATGGTTTACTTTAGTATTTTATAAACAGCAGTCTGTCAAATTTGGATTCGAATTATTTTGATACACACTGTATAAGCCCTCTGACAGGAATCCGAACCTGTGACCCTGCGATTCCGGTGCAGTGCTCTAACCAACTGAGCCACAGAGGCCATTGACGAGCATTAACCACAAGTTCGTCTATATATAATTTACACTCAAATTTCCATTAACGAAAAACTCTTCAACAATTGTTTTCAGACACCGACTACGGCAATTTATTAAATAATACTTTACATATGTACCTGGCATTAATGTCAAGAGAAATGAATTTCATGTTAAAGTCATTCGTTATTTCTGTCTATTAGTGTCCAAGACTTGCAGTCCTTCAGAGAGGAAATGTAATAACAACAGGTGTATACCTAAAGCGATGTTCTGTGATGGCGACGATGATTGCGGTAATAATTATGACGAACAGAACTGCACGTGTTCCAGAGATCATTTCAAATGCGAGAACTCGGGTCCCTGTATTCCTAATGGCTGGAAATGTGACGGTGATAAGGACTGTCTTTACGGCTCTGATGAAGTCGGCTGCAGTAAGTCGACCATTATTACCCCTCCCCTTATGCTTTTATCCCTGTTTGTATCTCAGTACCATACCTTAAAAAATCTAACGTACAGTATTAAGAGGAGAATCTTTTGTATGTTACGCAGGGATGG